TCTATTATATGGCTAAATTTTAGTATTTATAAGAATAACAAATCCATAGTTTCTACTAGCTGCGAAAATTTTAGTATTTATAAGAATGTGTTTAAATCATGTATACATATTTAAAAAGAATAGCTTAAATATTATATATAAAATTATTTAAATTATTTTGGTTGATTTGTGTCATTTACAATCATTACATGATATAGAATATCATTAAACAACGTTTAGGGGCATTATGATCATTTTAAAACTTTTATCCTGTCTTATTCAGTCATGTTCTAGTCTTACCAAACGTAGGACAAACAATTTAGTCTTGTTCTATATTCTCTAGTGCAGTCCCGTTTCATCTAGTCTGTGTACCAAATGCTACCCTAGTTCACAAAGTTGAAACTTTCTTTTGTTGCCAGTAGCATTTGAACACATATTTAATTCTTTGACAGCCCAAAATGCTTTGTGTTCTAGCTTGAAAGGAAGGTGACAAGCCTTACCAAAGACTAACTTATATTGGGACATACCAATTGGTGTTTTAAAAGTAGTCATGTATGCCCATAAAGCGTCATCTAATTTGAAAGCCCAATCTTTTCTGTTCAGCTTGACAACCTTTTTCTAAGATTCCCTTTATTTCTCTGTTTGAGAATTCAACCGATCCATTAGTTTGTGGGTGGTAGGCAGTTGCAATCTTGTGGTTAATTTTGTATTTTGCAAGGACTCACTTAACAGGTTATTTACAAAGTGGGTACCCTCATCACTGATGAGTGCCCTAGGGGTACTAAACCTTGTAAAAATATGCTTTTGAAGGAACTTAACCATTTTTTTAGCATCATTATGAACACATGCATAGATTCCACCCATTTTGATACATAGTCGACAACAACTAGAATGTACTGACAATTGTTTGATGGGGGAAATGGTCCCATGAAATCTATTCCACAAACATCAAACAACTCTACTTCTAAGATCCCATTTAGTGGCATTTCATTCCTTTTAGAAATGGAACCATTTCTTTGACACTCATTTCATCTTTGTGCAAAATTGTGAGCATATTTGAAGAGAGTTGGCCAATAAAAACCATATTGTAAGACCTTAGCTGTTGTTCTTTGGCCTCTAAAGTGTCTTCCATGTGCTGCTTGGTGGCAATGCTGCAGAATTTCTACCACTTCAGTTTATGGGATACACCTTCTTAAAATTTGATCTGCACCAATTTTAAACAAGTAAGGATCATCTCAAAGATAAGACTTGGTATCATGGATAAATTTTTTAAGCATATGGCCAGAATAATTAGAAGGTGTTACGACACAAGCCAAATAATTTGCTATATCAACAAACTATGGTGACTTTGATTGCAGCACAAGGATTATTTCATTAGGGAAAGTTTCAATGATGCCTCCTTCTTCTTTATCCTCACTAGGATTCACTAGTATATACAAATGATCTGCTACTTGGTTGTCCACTCCTTTTCTATCCACTATCTCTAGTCAAACTCTTGCAACAACAATACCCATCTTACCAACCTAGGTTTAACATCTCCTTTTGAGATCAAGTACTTGATGGCAACATGGTCAGTGTGTATAGTGACTTTTGTTTCCATCAAATATGATCTATACCTCTCAAAGGCAAAACCACAACTAATAACTCTTTTTTCAGTTTTTGTGTAGTTAATTTGTGCTTCATTTAAAGTTTTACTTGCATAATAAATTAAATGAATTTTTTTTTTCTTTTCTTTAACCTAAGACAGCTCCTACAGCCCAATCATTGGCATCACACATGATTTTAAAAGGTTTGTTCCCGGTGGAGTTCTCAAAGTTTTCTTCAAAGTGTTGAATGCATTTCTACATTCGTCGTTGAAATCAAATCTTTGGTCATGCTGCAAAAGTAAACACAAGGGTTTTAGATTTTTGAAAAGTCTTTGATAAACCTTTTGTAAAATCGAGGATGACCAAGAAAACTTCTTATTCCTTTGACAGTGGTTGGTTCAGGTAATTTATCAATCACCTCAAGTTTAGCTTTGTCTACCTCAACTCCTCTTTTACAAAAATCGAATGTCCTACCTTTCTTTGACCATGAAATGACATTTTTTCTATTTGAGAACCAAATCAGTTTCTTCACACCTTTCAAGACTCCTTTTTAGATTATCCAAACAATTATCAAAAGATGAGCCATAAACTGAAAAATCATCCATAAAGATTTGTATGGATTTTTTAAGCATGTCAAAGAATATGGACATCATGCATCTTGAAAAGTTGCAGGTGCATTGCAAAGTCCAAATGGAATTTTCCTAGAGGCAAAAGTACCTTAGGTACAAGTGAAGGTGGTCTTTTCTTGGTCCTCGGGTGATAGGGCTATCTGAATATATCCCGAGTATCCACTCAAAAAACTGTAATATTCATTTTTGGCTTACTTATCCAACATTTGATTAATATAAGGTAATGGAAAATGGTTCTTTTGGGTAGCTTTGTTTATCGTACGGTAGTCCATACATATTCTCCAACCGGATACTATTCTAGTGGGGATGAGTTCATGTTTGTCATTGGTGACGACTGTAAACCCTCCCTTCTTGGGACACACTAGATTGGACTAACCCAAGAATTACCAGCAATTGAGAAAATGATTCCCGCATCTAACCATTTCAATATTTCCTTTTTACTACCTTCTTCATGACATGGTTTAACCTTCTTTGTGGCTCTACAGATTTGAAGTTCTTGTCATCTAGGATGATCTTATGTTGACAAATAGAAGGACTAATCCCATTTAAGGTCCACAATGGTCCATCCTATAGATTTTGTGTGCAACTTGAACATATCTACAAGCTTCTTTTCTTGATACAAATCTATGGTAGATGATATGATGACAAACAATTTGCCTTCTTCTCCTACAAAAGCATACTTCAAATGAGATGAGAGTTGCTTCAACTTCAGGTCAGGTGGTGATATTATGGACGGGGTAAAATTCTTTTTCTTACTATTTTCCAACAACTCAAATGTTGTACATCATATGGAATACTATCATTCTCTCTCAAATCTAACTCCTCAACAATCTTCTTTTCATCTATTTCAATACTATCTTCTTCCTCCAACTTATAGACCTTTATAATTACTTCCTCATGACATATTGCTTCTATCTCAATTATGCCTAAGCACTCCTCTAAGTAATCAAGGTACTTTAAGGAGCTAAAAGTATTGAATGTGACTTCTTGGTCCTAAAGCCTTATAGTTAGTTCTCTTTTATGGACATCTATCAAAGTTCTGTTGGTGGCTAAGAATGGTCTTCCTAAAACGATAGGAATATCTTTATCCACCTCAAAATCTAGGATGATGAAATCATCCAGAAATATGAACTTATCAGCTTGAACTAAGACATCCTCAATCTTCCCTTTTGGATAAGAAATGGATCTATTGGCTAATTAAAGTGTTACAGTGGTGGGTCTAGCCTCTCATATGCCTAAGGTGTTGAAAACAGATAAGAATATTAGGTTAATACTAGAACCTAAATCACACAAAGCCTTTTTAATCTCCTTTCCACCTATAGAACAAGGTATAGTGAAACTTCCCGGGTCTTTACTTAGTAGGTATCTTGTTGGTCAAAGGCACACTACATCTTTCAGTAAGAGCTACGGTTTCAAACTCGGTCAGCTTCTTCTTCTTACTTATGATGTCTTTGAGGAACTTGGCATAACTGGGCATTTACTCAATTGCTTCAACAAGATATATGCTAATATGCAATGCTTTAATCACTTCCAAAAATTTCTTAAATTACAGTTCTTCCTTCTTATTTCTTAACCTTTAGGGAAAGGGCACATAAGGAGGGATTGGTTTTATGACAACTTTATTTGACTATGTTGAGCAAGATGGGTACTTAATGCCTTGATTCTTGGTTTTACTTTCTTGAGGTTCAGATAGGGTCACATCTTTGGTCTTATAATCTGTTATAACCTCATCTTCAATTGACTTCTTCCTAACCGCTTCTTCTGGGAATAATAGAGGGTAGTCTTACTTGGGGGAACAAAAGTAGAGACAAAAGTAGGGACCTCAGATGATTGGTGCTCTAATGGTCTTGGTAGATTTTCAGTAACAGGGACCATTGGTGTAGTCTTAGATTTAGACACAACCTATTCACTTTCTTTTTGTATGGTCTTTGTTAATTCCTTTCCATTCCTAAGGGTCAGTAATTTCACATGTTCTTTTCCCAAGGATTTTGGGACTTCTGTGTTACTAGGCAAAGTATCGAGGACTCTATTGGTCTGATTGAGTGCAAGTTACTGACTTGAGTTTCTAGATTTATGATGGTAGCACTTTACTAATTAAAAATAGATTGATTTTGGGTCAACAATTATTGTTGAGCTTGAGACTGAGCCACAAAGCCTTTTATCATAGCTTCCAAAGAAGATGGTGATTCAGCTTGTGGAAGTGGCTTGTTTTGAAAAGATGGTTGAGTAGTTTGAAAACTTTGGTGATGATTTTGAGAATTAGAACTGCTCGCATGCTGTTGCATTGAAAATTAGAGGAACCTTGTTGCTTATGAGCGGATGGATTTAAACATGGACTGTTCCAAGAAAAATGTGGATGTTTCCTCCAACTAGCATTGTTTTTGTTCAAATAGGGATTAGATCTAATAGTACATAATTTACAGATTCAAAATTATGAGAACAATGTTCATACGAGTGTTCCCCTCCACAACAAACACACTGCATTGAAAGGACTGTTGGAATAAGTGTAGTAGCAGTTGGCTGCACTCCTTGGCCGGAAGTTAGGTTTTTAAGCATGGTGGCCATGGAAGTGAGTTGTGCTGTTAATACAGTGTGTGCATCTACATCATGAATTCCAACTGTCTTCTTTTGTGGTTGGACATGTGGATCTGCTCAATGTCCATTGTTTGTTGAAATCTTTTCAAGAAATTCATACCCATCACTATAGGTACTAGCTATAAAGGCCCTGCCTGCAGTCGCATTGAGCATATGTTTAGCCATAGGAATTAACCCATTATAAAATGTCTCGAGTTGCATACAGTAAGGAATGCCATGGTGAGGGCATTTTCTTAACATCTCTTTAAACCTCTTCCATGCATCAGGAACAACTTTATCGTCTATTTGTTTAAAAAGACAAAAATCATTCTGGACTTTCCTGGTGGATGGAAAATATTTTCACAAAAAAACTTCGGCCATATTATTCCATGATGGTACAGAATCTGGTGGTAATGAATTAAACCATGACTTTGCTCAATCCCGTAAAGAAAATGGAAACAAAGTAGGTCATAGAGCGCATTCGACACTCCCAGTATCAAGAAAGCATCTATAATTTCCATGAAAGATTTCAAATGCGAGTGAGGATCTTCTGATGGTAATCTAGCAAATTGTCCATTTGTTTGCAACATATGGAACATGATTGGTTTAAGCTAAAAATAGAGGATTGTCATCTGAGGCCTAACTATCCCTGAGTTCAATTGCTCAAAATTGGGAATAACATAGTCCATGATTCTTCCATTTTTATAGTATGCACGATTTATTATATTTGGAATTTGCGCTTTTGGATGATCATTATTTTCATATTATGTGTCATTATGTGCATCATCATGATTTGGTGGCCATTGTTGAAAAGGATGTTCTGGCGGGTTTTCAAAAAGTGCTGGATTTGGCAGGAAAGGCTGCAACCTTGGTATTTGATCAAAGCCTGGTGGTGGATTTTGAAGTGGTACATCTTCACCAAGTGGGGGAGGTAACGCCATATTAGGGGGAGTAGAGCATAAAATGCTCTTTGTGCCCTTCTTCTTTGACGGAATGTTCTCTCAATATTTGGATCGAATTCAAGAAACTCTCCGCGGTGTATATGTGGCATACAATTCAAACATTGTTAGAAAATCAGATCTTTAATGTTACTTTAAAAAGAACTTTTTAGCTTGCCAATCCCCGACAACGACGCCAAAAACTTGACCAGGCGGTTTTACACACCCACAGACTTAGAAATCAGGACCAAAATCAAGTATACAATTAGTGCCAATATCGTCTTTCAAGTAATAAGGTGGTACAAGTACTGGATATCATACATAGGGATTGTAGTAAAAGTTCAGTAAAAGTAATATGAAGGAAATGATTTTAAATGACGAATTTGAAGACTTTGATTGGATCTGAGTTAACACTACTGAAAATTAACAGATAATAATAGAAATCTAGGGTGTAAGACTCAGGGTGAGATGTAAATACTATTTTGAGTAGACCAATGCTATCAAAATGTCACAGCATGAAACCATGCTGAAAAAATGATACAACATGCAACTAGTAACAACTATTCTCACCACTTATTTTGAGGGTATTCCTCTCGAACTTCACTTTTGCTTTGATATTATAGCTTTTGTAGATCGTCTCTCTCACTTATTTGATGACGATCCTATTTACCTTTTGAAGTATAGTATTTCTGTTATTCAGTTTAAGTGATCTTCAATGAGTCTGTTCAGTGATCGCTGAACATGTATTGTAACTCCTTCAGAGACTATTATAGTTCAAGAAGACAAAACTCACACCAAAGATCCTTCAACAATGTCGAAGATAGAAACTGAAGATTAGAGACAAACGCGTTCGTGATCTGAAGCGACATTCAGTGATTACAAGCTCGTCTAATTATATGTGAAGTATGCACAAGTTTCAACGAATGCTGAAAAGACCCTCTAGCATTATCCCAACATTTAGCAATCAAATGAAGCCTGCCTTTCACGATTGTTTTTGTCTTGTCCTTTTTCACACAAAGGACGAACCCATACCTTTTCTAGAGTAGAGTACCAGTACGGAGCCACCCCGTTGACTCTATAGTGCTTACCTGCTTTATGAAAAGAGTACTGCTCTCATATACATCCAAAAGGAATGTTTACTATAGCAAAGGACAATCTTTCCTCCAAAAGCTTGACACGTGCTTTATACCTTCTGAATTGCATTTAATGCAATGAGTATAAATAGCTGAGTGCTCTCTACTCAGTCATCACTTCTTCATCTCTAAGAAACTTACTCAAGAACATACTTCCTTCTCTCTACTCTCATCTTTAGAGAAAGACCCACTTAGAACAAGTGAAGAGCATTTCCATTTCTTATATTTATTTCTTGTATCAAATCTTTTCTCTTTGCTATTTTGTAATTGTGTGAACCTTAAATTGTTTAGATAGGTTCTTTACCTTATCTATTCTGCAAAAAATCTATAAAATTTGTATTGATCTTTCTTTATCAATATAAAATTTTTAAAATTGAAAGCTTATGTGTTTGTAGTCACCCCCTTTTACAAAATGATTATTTATAACTCTTGTAGATCCGCCTGGGACCAACAAGTGGTATCAGAGTGCCGTTTGCTTTTTGTGTTGTTTTGTTGTTTTATTGGTATTTTATTATCTTTTCTTCTATAGATAATTTATTCATTTACAAATTGCTTTGCAAAACACCAACACTCACTTTCACGACAATGGCTCTCTTGCCAAACTTCCCCATTTCATTAGAGATAACTTTAATCTCTGGAAAAATCGGATGTCTTTATTCTTGGAAGGTGTGGATCTTGAGATTCCATACTATATAGAAAACGGACCTTATGTTCCATATGTTATATCTCCAGCAGTTCCTGCAACTGCTACGACAATCGCGAAACCTGAACGACATATCACAAAGCCTCCTTATAAATTAAGTGATGAATATAAGAAGAAGATGGCTTTAGACACTCGTGTGAGATCTATAATAGCGATGTCTCTTCCTGACGAGGTATATCACTCCGTGATGAAGCTCAAAACCTAGAAATCCATGTGGGACACTCTATGTGTTCAATATGAAAGTACTACTAAAGTACAAGAATCGAGGAAGATTAATCTAGTAAGACAATATGAAAGCTTTCTATTTGGAAACACTGAAACTTTATCTGAAGCACATCAACATTTTAGTTGTTATCTTATCGATTTAAGGACAGTTGGAAAAGAATATTCCAACTCTGAGACTCTGACAAAATTTCTTGAATGCTTGCCAGAATCATAGGATCAATATACCATGTGTCTTAAGATGTCCAAGGACATGTCCACTCTCTCTCTTAGTACCCTTAATGGGATATTGCTTAATCATGAGCAATCCCAACAACTGAAGAAGAATCTTCTTAAAGGTTATAAAGAAATGAAAAGCTCTTCATTAGCTTTGATATCTGAAAACCCTTCAGTTGATCCTTCTTTTTCTTCTATTCCTTCTCATTCTTTAGTTACTATCCCTAAGCTAGATCATTCTAACTCAGGAGACATGTCAGACGCTGATCTATCAGAGTTTGATAAGTCACTGGCCCTTCTTACTAACTCCTTTAGAAGGTTCGTCAGAAAAAGTAATTACCGTAGATCTCCATCGCTGACCCTATCTGAAAATCCAAAGTCAAATCCAATTGACAAGGCTTCAGCGATATGCTACAACTGCCAATGCAAAGGTCACTTTTCTAGTAAATGTAGGTCCAAGAAGATTAGGACGCCATCTTCTAAACCCTCATCCTCCTTTAGATCTAAAGATGACAAATACCTGAAGCTGAAGGAGAAGTATAAGAGATGAAGAACTCTGAGCGTAAAGACAAAGGTCTTGTCACTGAAGAACATGACTAGGCTGATTCTTCTAAAGAATCATCCTCTGACGAGGAAGATACAGACTATCTTTGTCTAATGGCCAAGGATATCAAGGATGAACCATCAGAGACATCATCCTTCAGTGATCCCTCGTCATCTATTCCTTACGCATGTATGTTCCCTGAATGAACCCTCTTATTCTACCTCTGATAGCCTATCTGCACTAGATACACTGATGGTTGATCTTTACAATGCTCTGAATGAAAAATCCAAAGCTAAAAAGCTTAATCTTGATCTTTAATAAAAATTAGAGAGATGTCATTATAAGATCAAATTGAATAAGATTGAAGAATATCTTAAGGATTAAGTCATTGTAAACCAAACCATAAGCATCGATCATGAGCAGGCTATTGTTGAGTCTGAGCAAGCTAGTGCTGAACTCAAGGCTGAGAAGGCTACCATTAAAGGGTTGTTCAAAGCCTCCATCAAGGCCTCTGAGATCATCACTACTCAGATCCCTGCCAAGATGAAGAATGGTCTAGGATTCTCCTATGATCAAGAAGAATGTGTCACTGACAGGTCAATGCTTAAGTTTGGTACCTTTGTCTCTTCCATTCCTGATACCTCTTATTCTCAGTACTCTTCCACTGAGACTCATCTTGAAGGAACTCCCTTGATTTCAGGATGCAAAGACAAAGGTAAATCCATTGTCATCACTCCTCTTCCTAAAAATGCTAACAAGTCTAATCGACCAAGGTCTAAATCTTCAACTTGTAAACCTTCTTCCTCGGGGACCAAGGTATCTAAACCTTCTCAGAAACCTAAGCCAAAGGTGAAAGTGAATCTCTCACCCAAGGCTTCCAAACCGTCAGTTGTTCCTTCTCGAACAAATGAGAAAGGAATCCTTGGAGCTTGTCCCTCTTCTATTCTCTCGGAACCTTCTGGCCCTAAAGCTAGCTATAGAAAGTGTAGACACTATGGTGAAACTACTCATATTGACAACAAGTATCCTTCAGCTACCAAATCTGGTCCGCCAGTTAAGGTAAAGAAAGTAACCAAGGCTGAAAAACCATCCAAGGCGAAATCTGCCACCAAAGTTGTAAAACAACTAAGGTGACTAAGCTTATTGAAGCCTCTTATTCAGGCTTAGTGAAGACACCTACTGACCCTGAGTCTTCAGAGTGGATGTCACCTCTAACTCCGGTGGACCCATTGAGAAGTGGGTACCAAAGAAATCTTAATCTGTTTTCTTGTGTAGAAAGTCAAAGGCATATGGTATCTTGACAGTGGATGCTCAAGACATATGACTAGCGATAAATCTCTGCTAAACGACTACAAGGATGAAAGAGGCCCTTCCATGACCTTTGGAGGAAACGAAAAAGGGTATACTAAGAGCTTTGGTATATTAACCAATGGTGCAACCACTTTCAACGTGTTGCATATGTTGAAGGACTGAAGTATAATCTTCTTAGCATTAATCAGTTGTGTGATAAAGATTTCACAGTGAAATTTTTTAAAAGTCCATGTTATGTTTTAGACAAATATGACAAGCTTGCTTTTACAGGT